AAGCACAGGGAGAGGGAAGCACAGGGAGATGGAAGCACAGGGAGAGGGAAGCACAGGGAGAGGGAAGCACAGGGAGAGGGAAGCACAGGGAGAGGGAAGCACAGGGAGAGGGAAGCACAGGGAGAGTGAAGCAAAGGGAGAGGGAAGCACAGGGAGAGTGAAGCACAGGGAGAGGGAAGCACAGGGAGAGGGAAGCACAGGGAGAGGGAAGCACAGGGAGAGGGAAGCACAGGGAGAGGGAAGCACAGGGAGAGGGAAGCACAGGGAGAGGGAAGCACAGGGAGAGGGAAGCACAGGGAGAGGGAAGCACAGGGAGAGGGAAGCACAGGGAGAGGGAAGCACAGGGAGATGGAAGCACAGGGAGAGGGAAGCACAGGGAGAGGGAAGCACAGGGAGAGGGAAGCACAGGGAGAGTGAAGCACAGGGAGAGGGAAGCACAGGGAGAGGGAAGCACAGGGAGAGGGAAGCACAGGGAGAGTGAAGCACAGGGAGAGGGAAGCACAGGGAGAGTGAAGCACAGGGAGAGGGAAGCACAGGGAGAGGGAAGCACAGGGAGAGGGAAGCACAGGGAGAGGGAAGCACAGGGAGAGGGAAGCACAGGGAGAGGGAAGCACAGGGAGAGGGAAGCACAGGGAGAGGGAAGCACAGGGAGAGGAAGCACAGGGAGAGGGAAGCACAGGGAGAGGGAAGCACAGGGAGAGGGAAGCACAGGGAGAGTGAAGCACAGGGAGAGGGAAGCACAGGGAAAGGGAAGCACAGGGAGAGGGAAGCACAGGGAGAGGGAAGCACAGGGAGAGGGAAGCACAGGGAGAGGGAAGCACGAGCTGCCCCTGGCGCTACGAGCTGCCCCTGGCGCTACGAGCTGCCCCTGGCGCTACGAGCTGCACCTGGCGCTACGAGCTGCCCCTGGCGTACGAGCTGCCCCTGGCGCTACGAGCTGCCCCTGGCGTACGAGCTGCCCCTGGCGCTACGAGCTGCCCCTGGCGCTACGAGCTGCCCCTGGCGCTACGAGCTGCCCCTGGCGCTACGAGCTGCCCCTGGCGCTACGAGCTGCCCCTGGCGCTACGAGCTGCCCCTGGCGCTACGAGCTGCCCCTGGCGCTACGAGCTGCCCCTGGCGCTACGAGCTGCCCCTGGCGCTACGAGCTGCCCCTGGCGCTACGAGCTGCCCCTGGCGCTACGAGCTGCCCCTGGCGCTACGAGCTGCCCCTGGCGCTACGAGCTGCCCCTGGCGCTACGAGCTGCCCCTGGCGCTACGAGCTGCCCCTGGCGCTACGAGCTGCCCCTGGCGCTACGAGCTGCCCCTGGCGCTACGAGCTGCCCCTGGCGCTACGAGCTGCCCCTGGCGCTACGAGCTGCCCCTGGCGCTACGAGCTGCCCCTGGCGCTACGAGCTGCCCCTGGCGCTACGAGCTGCCCCTGGCGCTACGAGCTGCCCCTGGCGCTACGAGCTGCCCCTGGCGCTACGAGCTGCCCCTGGCGCTACGAGCTGCCCCTGGCGCTACGAGCTGCCCCTGGCGCTACGAGCTGCCCCTGGCGCTACGAGCTGCCCCTGGCGCTACGAGCTGCACCTGGCGCTACGAGCTGCCCCTGGCGCTACGAGCTGCCCCTGGCGTACGAGCTGCCCCTGGCGCTACGAGCTGCCCCTGGCGCTACGAGCTGCCCCTGGCGCTACGAGCTGCCCCTGGCGCTACGAGCTGCCCCTGGCGCTACGAGCTGCCCCTGGCGCTACGAGCTGCCCCTGGCGCTACGAGCTGCCCCTGGCGCTACGAGCTGCCCCTGGCGCTACGAGCTGCCCCTGGCGCTACGAGCTGCCCCTGGCGCTACGAGCTGCCCCTGGCGCTACGAGCTGCCCCTGGCGCTACGAGCTGCCCCTGGCGCAACGAGCTGCCCCTGGCGCTACGAGCTGCCCCTGGCGCTACGAGCTGCCCCTGGCGCTACGAGCTGCCCCTGGCGCTACGAGCTGCACCTGGCGCTACGAGCTGCCCCTGTCGCTACGAGCTGCCCCTGGCGCTACGAGCTGCACCTGGCGCTACGAGCTGCCCCTGGCGCTACGAGCTGCACCTGGCGCTACGAGCTGCCCCTGGCGCTACGAGCTGCCCCTGGCGCTACGAGCTGCCCCTGGCGCTACGAGCTGCACCTGGCGCTACGAGCTGCCCCTGGCGCTACGAGCTGCCCCTGGCGCTACGAGCTGCCCCTGGCGCTACGAGCTGCCCCTGGCGCTACGAGCTGCACCTGGCGCTACGAGCTGCCCCTGGCGCTACGAGCTGCACCTGGCGCTACGAGCTGCCCCTGGCGCTACGAGCTGCCCCTGGCGCTACGAGCTGCCCCTGGCGCTACGAGCTGCCCCTGGCGCTACGAGCTGCCCCTGGCGCTACGAGCTGCCCCTGGCGCTACGAGCTGCCCCTGGCGCTACGAGCTGCACCTGGCGCTACGAGCTGCCCCTGGCGCTACGAGCTGCACCTGGCGCTACGAGCTGCCCCTGGCGCTACGAGCTGCCCCTGGCGCTACGAGCTGCCCCTGGCGCTACGAGCTGCCCCTGGCGCTACGAGCTGCCCCTGGCGCTACGAGCTGCCCCTGGCGCTACGAGCTGCCCCTGGCGCTACGAGCTGCCCCTGGCGCTACGAGCTGCCCCTGGCGCTACGAGCTGCCCCTGGCGCTACGAGCTGCCCCTGGCGCTACGAGCTGCCCCTGGCGCTACGAGCTGCCCCTGGCGCTACGAGCTGCACCTGGCGTACGAGCTGCCCCTGGCGCTACGAGCTGCCCCTGGCGCTACGAGCTGCCCCTGGCGCTACGAGCTGCCCCTGGCGCTACGAGCTGCCCCTGGCGCTACGAGCTGCACCTGGCGCTACGAGCTGCCCCTGGCGCTACGAGCTGCCCCTGGCGCTACGAGCTGCACCTGGCGCTACGAGCTGCCCCTGGCGCTACGAGCTGCACCTGGCGCTACGAGCTGCCCCTGGCGCTACGAGCTGCCCCTGGCGCTACGAGCTGCCCCTGGCGCTACGAGCTGCACCTGGCGCTACGAGCTGCCCCTGGCGCTACGAGCTGCACCTGGCGCTACGAGCTGCCCCTGGCGCTACGAGCTGCCCCTGGCGCTACGAGCTGCCCCTGGCGCTACGAGCTGCCCCTGGCGCTACGAGCTGCCCCTGGCGCTACGAGCTGCCCCTGGCGCTACGAGCTGCCCCTGGCGCTACGAGCTGCCCCTGGCGCTACGAGCTGCCCCTGGCGCTACGAGCTGCCCCTGGCGCTACGAGCTGCCCCTGGCGCTACGAGCTGCCCCTGGCGCTACGAGCTGCCCCTGGCGCAACGAGCTGCCCCTGGCGCTACGAGCTGCCCCTGGCGCTACGAGCTGCCCCTGGCGCTACGAGCTGCCCCTGGCGCTACGAGCTGCACCTGGCGCTACGAGCTGCCCCTGTCGCTACGAGCTGCCCCTGGCGCTACGAGCTGCACCTGGCGCTACGAGCTGCCCCTGGCGCTACGAGCTGCACCTGGCGCTACGAGCTGCCCCTGGCGCTACGAGCTGCCCCTGGCGCTACGAGCTGCCCCTGGCGCTACGAGCTGCACCTGGCGCTACGAGCTGCCCCTGGCGCTACGAGCTGCCCCTGGCGCTACGAGCTGCCCCTGGCGCTACGAGCTGCCCCTGGCGCTACGAGCTGCACCTGGCGCTACGAACTGCCCCTGGCGCTACGAGCTGCACCTGGCGCTACGAGCTGCCCCTGGCGCTACGAGCTGCCCCTGGCGCTACGAGCTGCCCCTGGCGCTACGAGCTGCCCCTGGCGCTACGAGCTGCCCCTGGCGCTACGAGCTGCCCCTGGCGCTACGAGCTGCCCCTGGCGCTACGAGCTGCACCTGGCGCTACGAGCTGCCCCTGGCGCTACGAGCTGCACCTGGCGCTACGAGCTGCCCCTGGCGCTACGAGCTGCCCCTGGCGCTACGAGCTGCCCCTGGCGCTACGAGCTGCCCCTGGCGCTACGAGCTGCACCTGGCGCTACGAGCTGCCCCTGGCGCTGCGAGCTGCCCCTGGCGCTACGAGCTGCCCCTGGCGCTACGAGCTGCCCCTGGCGCTACGAGCTGCCCCTGGCGCTACGAGCTGCCCCTGGCGCTACGAGCTGCCCCTGGCGCTACGAGCTGCCCCTGGCGCTACGAGCTGCACCTGGCGCTACGAGCTGCCCCTGGCGCTACGAGCTGCCCCTGGCGCTACGAGCTGCCCCTGGCGCTACGAGCTGCCCCTGGCGCTACGAGCTGCCCCTGGCGCTACGAGCTGCCCCTGGCGCTACGAGCTGCCCCTGGCGCTACGAGCTGCCCCTGGCGCTACGAGCTGCCCCTGGCGCTACGAGCTGCCCCTGGCGCTACGAGCTGCCCCTGGCGCTACGAGCTGCCCCTGGCGCTACGAGCTGCCCCTGGCGCTACGAGCTGCCCCTGGCGCTACGAGCTGCCCCTGGCGCTACGAGCTGCCCCTGGCGCTACGAGCTGCCCCTGGCGCTACGAGCTGCCCCTGGCGCTACGAGCTGCACCTGGCGCTACGAGCTGCCCCTGGCGCTACGAGCTGCCCCTGGCGCTACGAGCTGCCCCTGGCGCTACGAGCTGCCCCTGGCGCTACGAGCTGCCCCTGGCGCTACGAGCTGCCCCTGGCGCTACGAGCTGCACCTGGCGCTACGAGCTGCCCCTGGCGCTGCGAGCTGCCCCTGGCGCTACGAGCTGCCCCTGGCGCTACGAGCTGCCCCTGGCGCTACGAGCTGCCCCTGGCGCTACGAGCTGCCCCTGGCGCTACGAGCTGCCCCTGGCGCTACGAGCTGCCCCTGGCGCTACGAGCTGCACCTGGCGCTACGAGCTGCCCCTGGCGCTACGAGCTGCCCCTGGCGCTACGAGCTGCCCCTGGCGCTACGAGCTGCCCCTGGCGCTACGAGCTGCCCCTGGCGCTACGAGCTGCCCCTGGCGCTACGAGCTGCCCCTGGCGCTACGAGCTGCCCCTGGCGCTACGAGCTGCCCCTGGCGCTACGAGCTGCCCCTGGCGCTACGAGCTGCCCCTGGCGCTACGAGCTGCCCCTGGCGCTACGAGCTGCCCCTGGCGCTACGAGCTGCCCCTGGCGCTACGAGCTGCCCCTGGCGCTACGAGCTGCCCCTGGCGCTACGAGCTGCCCCTGGCGCTACGAGCTGCCCCTGGCGCTACGAGCTGCCCCTGGCGCTACGAGCTGCCCCTGGCGCTACGAGCTGCCCCTGGCGCTACGAGCTGCCCCTGGCGCTACGAGCTGCCCCTGGCGCTACGAGCTGCCCCTGGCGCTACGAGCTGCCCCTGGCGCTACGAGCTGCCCCTGGCGCTACGAGCTGCACCTGGCGCTACGAGCTGCCCCTGGCGCTACGAGCTGCACCTGGCGCTACGAGCTGCCCCTGGCGCTACGAGCTGCCCCTGGCGCTACGAGCTGCCCCTGGCGCTACGAGCTGCCCCTGGCGCTACGAGCTGCCCCTGGCGCTACGAGCTGCCCCTGGCGCTACGAGCTGCCCCTGGCGCTACGAGCTGCCCCTGGCGCTACGAGCTGCCCCTGGCGCTACGAGCTGCCCCTGGCGCTACGAGCTGCCCCTGGCGCTACGAGCTGCACCTGGCGTACGAGCTGCCCCTGGCGCTACGAGCTGCCCCTGGCGCTACGAGCTGCCCCTGGCGCTACGAGCTGCCCCTGGCGCTACGAGCTGCCCCTGGCGCTACGAGCTGCCCCTGGCGCTACGAGCTGCCCCTGGCGCTACGAGCTGCCCCTGGCGCTACGAGCTGCCCCTGGCGCTACGAGCTGCACCTGGCGCTACGAGCTGCCCCTGGCGCTACGAGCTGCCCCTGGCGCTACGAGCTGCACCTGGCGCTACGAGCTGCCCCTGGCGCTACGAGCTGCACCTGGCGCTACGAGCTGCCCCTGGCGCTACGAGCTGCCCCTGGCGCTACGAGCTGCCCCTGGCGCTACGAGCTGCACCTGGCGCTACGAGCTGCCCCTGGCGCTACGAGCTGCCCCTGGCGCTACGAGCTGCCCCTGGCGCTACGAGCTGCCCCTGGCGCTACGAGCTGCACCTGGCGCTACGAGCTGCCCCTGGCGCTACGAGCTGCACCTGGCGCTACGAGCTGCCCCTGGCGCTACGAGCTGCCCCTGGCGCTACGAGCTGCCCCTGGCGCTACGAGCTGCCCCTGGCGCTACGAGCTGCCCCTGGCGCTACGAGCTGCCCCTGGCGCTACGAGCTGCCCCTGGCGCTACGAGCTGCCCCTGGCGCTACGAGCTGCCCCTGGCGCTACGAGCTGCCCCTGGCGCTACGAGCTGCCCCTGGCGCTACGAGCTGCCCCTGGCGCTACGAGCTGCACCTGGCGCTACGAGCTGCCCCTGGCGCTACGAGCTGCACCTGGCGCTACGAGCTGCCCCTGGCGCTACGAGCTGCCCCTGGCGCTACGAGCTGCCCCTGGCGCTACGAGCTGCACCTGGCGCTACGAGCTGCCCCTGGCGCTACGAGCTGCCCCTGGCGCTACGAGCTGCCCCTGGCGCTACGAGCTGCCCCTGGCGCTGCGAGCTGCCCCTGGCGCTACGAGCTGCCCCTGGCGCTACGAGCTGCCCCTGGCGCTACGAGCTGCCCCTGGCGCTGCGAGCTGCCCCTGGCGCTACGAGCTGCCCCTGGCGCTACGAGCTGCCCCTGGCGCTACGAGCTGCCCCTGGCGCTACGAGCTGCCCCTGGCGCTACGAGCTGCCCCTGGCACTACGAGCTGCCCCTGGCGCTACGAGCTGCCCCTGGCGCTACGAGCTGCCCCTGGCGCTACGAGCTGCCCCTGGCGCTACGAGCTGCCCCTGGCGCTGCGAGCTGCCCCTGGCGCTACGAGCTGCCCCTGGCGCTACGAGCTGCCCCTGGCGCTACGAGCTGCCCCTGGCGCTACGAGCTGCCCCTGGCGCTACGAGCTGCCCCTGGCGCTACGAGCTGCCCCTGGCGCTACGAGCTGCCCCTGGCGCTACGAGCTGCCCCTGGCGCTACGAGCTGCCCCTGGCGCTACGAGCTGCCCCTGGCGCTACGAGCTGCCCCTGGCGCTGCGAGCTGCCCCTGGCGCTACGAGCTGCCCCTGGCGCTACGAGCTGCCCCTGGCGCTACGAGCTGCCCCTGGCGCTACGAGCTGCCCCTGGCGCTACGAGCTGCCCCTGGCGCTACGAGCTGCCCCTGGCGCTACGAGCTGCCCCTGGCGCTACGAGCTGCCCCTGGCGCTACGAGCTGCCCCTGGCGCTACGAGCTGCCCCTGGCGCTACGAGCTGCCCCTGGCGCTGCGAGCTGCCCCTGGCGCTACGAGCTGCCCCTGGCGCTACGAGCTGCCCCTGGCGCTACGAGCTGCCCCTGGCGCTACGAGCTGCCCCTGGCGCTACGAGCTGCCCCTGGCGCTACGAGCTGCCCCTGGCGCTACGAGCTGCCCCTGGCGCTACGAGCTGCCCCTGGCGCTACGAGCTGCCCCTGGCGCGCTACGAGCTGCCCCTGGCGCTACGAGCTGCCCCTGGCGCTACGAGCTGCCCCTGGCGCTACGAGCTGCCCCTGGCGCTACGAGCTGCCCCTGGCGCTACGAGCTGCCCCTGGCGCTACGAGCTGCCCCTGGCGCTACGAGCTGCCCCTGGCGCTACGAGCTGCCCCTGGCGCTACGAGCTGCCCCTGGCGCTACGAGCTGCCCCTGGCGCTACGAGCTGCCCCTGGCGCTACGAGCTGCCCCTGGCGCTGCGAGCTGCCCCTGGCGCTACGAGCTGCCCCTGGCGCTACGAGCTGCCCCTGGCGCTACGAGCTGCCCCTGGCGCTACGAGCTGCCCCTGGCGCTACGAGCTGCCCTGGCGCTACGAGCTGCCCCTGGCGCTACGAGCTGCCCCTGGCGCTACGAGCTGCCCCTGGCGCTACGAGCTGCCCCTGGCGCTACGAGCTGCCCCTGGCGCTACGAGCTGCCCCTGGCGCTGCGAGCTGCCCCTGGCGCTACGAGCTGCCCCTGGCGCTACGAGCTGCCCCTGGCGCTACGAGCTGCCCCTGGCGCTACGAGCTGCCCCTGGCGCTACGAGCTGCCCCTGGCGCTACGAGCTGCCCCTGGCGCTACGAGCTGCCCCTGGCGCTACGAGCTGCCCCTGGCGCTACGAGCTGCCCCTGGCGCTACGAGCTGCCCCTGGCGCTACGAGCTGCCCCTGGCGCTACGAGCTGCCCCTGGCGCTACGAGCTGCCCCTGGCGCTGCGAGCTGCCCCTGGCGCTACGAGCTGCCCCTGGCGCTACGAGCTGCCCCTGGCGCTACGAGCTGCCCCTGGCGCTACGAGCTGCCCCTGGCGCTACGAGCTGCCCCTGGCGCTACGAGCTGCCCCTGGCGCTACGAGCTGCCCCTGGCGCTACGAGCTGCCCCTGGCGCTACGAGCTGCCCCTGGCGCTACGAGCTGCCCCTGGCGCTACGAGCTGCCCCTGGCGCTACGAGCTGCCCCTGGCGCTACGAGCTGCCCGCTGCGAGCTGCCCCTGGCGCTACGAGCTGCCCCTGGCGCTACGAGCTGCCCCTGGCGCTACGAGCTGCCCCTGGCGTTACGAGCTGCACCTGGCGCTACGAGCTGCCCCTGGCGCTACGAGCTGCACCTGGCGCTACGAGCTGCCCCTGGCGCTACGAGCTGCCCCTGGCGCTACGAGCTGCCCCTGGCGCTACGAGCTGCCCCTGGCGCTACGAGCTGCCCCTGGCGCTACGAGCTGCCCCTGGCGCTACGAGCTGCACCTGGCGTACGAGCTGCCCCTGGCGCTACGAGCTGCCCCTGGCGCTACGAGCTGCCCCTGGCGCTACGAGCTGCCCCTGGCGCTACGAGCTGCCCCTGGCGCTACGAGCTGCCCCTGGCGCTACGAGCTGCCCCTGGCGCTACGAGCTGCCCCTGGCGCTACGAGCTGCCCCTGGCGCTACGAGCTGCACCTGGCGCTACGAGCTGCCCCTGGCGCTACGAGCTGCCCCTGGCGCTACGAGCTGCACCTGGCGCTACGAGCTGCCCCTGGCGCTACGAGCTGCACCTGGCGCTACGAGCTGCCCCTGGCGCTACGAGCTGCCCCTGGCGCTACGAGCTGCCCCTGGCGCTACGAGCTGCACCTGGCGCTACGAGCTGCCCCTGGCGCTACGAGCTGCCCCTGGCGCTACGAGCTGCCCCTGGCGCTACGAGCTGCCCCTGGCGCTACGAGCTGCACCTGGCGCTACGAGCTGCCCCTGGCGCTACGAGCTGCACCTGGCGCTACGAGCTGCCCCTGGCGCTACGAGCTGCCCCTGGCGCTACGAGCTGCCCCTGGCGCTACGAGCTGCCCCTGGCGCTACGAGCTGCCCCTGGCGCTACGAGCTGCCCCTGGCACTACGAGCTGCCCCTGGCGCTACGAGCTGCCCCTGGCGCTACGAGCTGCCCCTGGCGCTACGAGCTGCCCCTGGCGCTACGAGCTGCCCCTGGCGCTACGAGCTGCCCCTGGCGCTACGAGCTGCACCTGGCGCTACGAGCTGCCCCTGGCGCTACGAGCTGCACCTGGCGCTACGAGCTGCCCCTGGCGCTACGAGCTGCCCCTGGCGCTACGAGCTGCCCCTGGCGCTACGAGCTGCCCCTGGCGCTACGAGCTGCCCCTGGCGCTACGAGCTGCCCCTGGCGCTACGAGCTGCCCCTGGCGCTACGAGCTGCCCCTGGCGCTGCGAGCTGCCCCTGGCGCTACGAGCTGCCCCTGGCGCTACGAGCTGCCCCTGGCGCTACGAGCTGCCCCTGGCGCTGCGAGCTGCCCCTGGCGCTACGAGCTGCCCCTGGCGCTACGAGCTGCCCCTGGCGCTACGAGCTGCCCCTGGCGCTACGAGCTGCCCCTGGCGCTACGAGCTGCCCCTGGCACTACGAGCTGCCCCTGGCGCTACGAGCTGCCCCTGGCGCTACGAGCTGCCCCTGGCGCTACGAGCTGCCCCTGGCGCTACGAGCTGCCCCTGGCGCTGCGAGCTGCCCCTGGCGCTACGAGCTGCCCCTGGCGCTACGAGCTGCCCCTGGCGCTACGAGCTGCCCCTGGCGCTACGAGCTGCCCCTGGCGCTACGAGCTGCCCCTGGCGCTACGAGCTGCCCCTGGCGCTACGAGCTGCCCCTGGCGCTACGAGCTGCCCCTGGCGCTACGAGCTGCCCCTGGCGCTACGAGCTGCCCCTGGCGCTACGAGCTGCCCCTGGCGCTGCGAGCTGCCCCTGGCGCTACGAGCTGCCCCTGGCGCTACGAGCTGCCCCTGGCGCTACGAGCTGCCCCTGGCGCTACGAGCTGCCCCTGGCGCTACGAGCTGCCCCTGGCGCTACGAGCTGCCCCTGGCGCTACGAGCTGCCCCTGGCGCTACGAGCTGCCCCTGGCGCTACGAGCTGCCCCTGGCGCTACGAGCTGCCCCTGGCGCTACGAGCTGCCCCTGGCGCTACGAGCTGCCCCTGGCTGCGCTGCCCCTGGCGCTACGAGCTGCCCCTGGCGCTACGAGCTGCCCCTGGCGCTACGAGCTGCCCCTGGCGCTACGAGCTGCCCCTGGCGCTGCGAGCTGCCCCTGGCGCTACGAGCTGCCCCTGGCGCTACGAGCTGCCCCTGGCGCTACGAGCTGCCCCTGGCGCTACGAGCTGCCCCTGGCGCTACGAGCTGCCCCTGGCGCTACGAGCTGCCCCTGGCGCTACGAGCTGCCCCTGGCGCTACGAGCTGCCCCTGGCGCTACGAGCTGCCCCTGGCGCTACGAGCTGCCCCTGGCGCTACGAGCTGCCCCTGGCGCTACGAGCTGCCCCTGGCGCTACGAGCTGCCCCTGGCGCTACGAGCTGCCCCTGGCGCTACGAGCTGCCCCTGGCGCTACGAGCTGCCCCTGGCGCTACGAGCTGCCCCTGGCGCTACGAGCTGCCCCTGGCGCTACGAGCTGCCCCTGGCGCTACGAGCTGCCCCTGGCGCTACGAGCTGCCCCTGGCGCTACGAGCTGCCCCTGGCGCTACGAGCTGCCCCTGGCGCTACGAGCTGCCCCTGGCGCTACGAGCTGCCCCTGGCGCTACGAGCTGCCCCTGGCGCTACGAGCTGCCCCTGGCGCTACGAGCTGCCCCTGGCGCTACGAGCTGCCCCTGGCGCTACGAGCTGCCCCTGGCGCTGCGAGCTGCCCCTGGCGCTACGAGCTGCCCCTGGCGCTACGAGCTGCCCCTGGCGCTACGAGCTGCCCCTGGCGCTACGAGCTGCCCCTGGCGCTACGAGCTGCCCCTGGCGCTACGAGCTGCCCCTGGCGCTACGAGCTGCCCCTGGCGCTACGAGCTGCCCCTGGCGCTACGAGCTGCCCCTGGCGCTACGAGCTGCCCCTGGCGCTACGAGCTGCCCCTGGCGCTACGAGCTGCCCCTGGCGCTACGAGCTGCCCCTGGCGCTGCGAGCTGCCCCTGGCGCTGCGAGCTGCCCCTGGCGCTACGAGCTGCCCCTGGCGCTACGAGCTGCCCCTGGCGCTACGAGCTGCCCCTGGCGCTACGAGCTGCCCCTGGCGCTACGAGCTGCCCCTGGCGCTACGAGCTGCCCCTGGCGCTACGAGCTGCCCCTGGCGCTACGAGCTGCCCCTGGCGCTACGAGCTGCCCCTGGCGCTACGAGCTGCCCCTGGCGCTACGAGCTGCCCCTGGCGCTACGAGCTGCCCCTGGCGCTGCGAGCTGCCCCTGGCGCTACGAGCTGCCCCTAGCGCTACGAGCTGCCCCTGGCGCTACGAGCTGCCCCTGGCGCTACGAGCTGCACCTGGCGCTACGAGCTGCCCCTGGCGCTACGAGCTGCACCTGGCGCTACGAGCTGCCCCTGGCGCTACGAGCTGCCCCTGGCGCTACGAGCTGCCCCTGGCGCTACGAGCTGCCCCTGGCGCTACGAGCTGCCCCTGGCGCTACGAGCTGCCCCTGGCGCTACGAGCTGCCCCTGGCGCTACGAGCTGCCCCTGGCGCTACGAGCTGCCCCTGGCGCTACGAGCTGCCCCTGGCGCTGCGAGCTGCCCCTGGCGCTACGAGCTGCCCCTGGCGCTACGAGCTGCCCCTGGCGCTACGAGCTGCCCCTGGCGCTACGAGCTGCCCCTGGCGCTACGAGCTGCCCCTGGCGCTACGAGCTGCCCCTGGCGCTACGAGCTGCCCCTGGCGCTACGAGCTGCCCCTGGCGCTACGAGCTGCCCCTGGCGCTACGAGCTGCCCCTGGCGCTACGAGCTGCCCCTGGCGCTACGAGCTGCCCCTGGCGCTACGAGCTGCCCCTGGCGCTGCGAGCTGCCCCTGGCGCTACGAGCTGCCCCTGGCGCTACGAGCTGCCCCTGGCGCTACGAGCTGCCCCTGGCGCTGCGAGCTGCCCCTGGCGCTACGAGCTGCCCCTGGCGCTACGAGCTGCCCCTGGCGCTACGAGCTGCCCCTGGCGCTACGAGCTGCCCCTGGCGCTACGAGCTGCCCCTGGCGCTACGAGCTGCCCCTGGCGCTACGAGCTGCCCCTGGCGCTACGAGCTGCCCCTGGCGCTACGAGCTGCCCCTGGCGCTACGAGCTGCCCCTGGCGCTGCGAGCTGCCCCTGGCGCTACGAGCTGCCCCTGGCGCTACGAGCTGCCCCTGGCGCTACGAGCTGCCCCTGGCGCTGCGAGCTGCCCCTGGCGCTACGAGCTGCCCCTGGCGCTACGAGCTGCCCCTGGCGCTACGAGCTGCCCCTGGCGCTACGAGCTGCCCCTGGCGCTGCGAGCTGCCCCTGGCGCTACGAGCTGCCCCTGGCGCTACGAGCTGCCCCTGGCGCTACGAGCTGCCCCTGGCGCTACGAGCTGCCCCTGGCGCTACGAGCTGCCCCTGGCGCTACGAGCTGCCCCTGGCGCTACGAGCTGCCCCTGGCGCTACGAGCTGCCCCTGGCGCTACGAGCTGCCCCTGGCGCTACGAGCTGCCCCTGGCGCTACGAGCTGCCCCTGGCGCTACGAGCTGCCCCTGGCGCTACGAGCTGCCCCTGGCGCTACGAGCTGCCCCTGGCGCTACGAGCTGCCCCTGGCGCTACGAGCTGCCCCTGGCGCTACGAGCTGCCCCTGGCGCTGCGAGCTGCCCCTGGCGCTACGAGCTGCCCCTGGCGCTACGAGCTGCCCCTGGCGCTACGAGCTGCCCCTGGCGCTACGAGCTGCCCCTGGCGCTACGAGCTGCCCCTGGCGCTACGAGCTGCCCCTGGCGCTACGAGCTGCCCCTGGCGCTACGAGCTGCCCCTGGCGCTACGAGCTGCCCCTGGCGCTACGAGCTGCCCCTGGCGCTACGAGCTGCCCCTGGCGCTACGAGCTGCCCCTGGCGCTGCGAGCTGCCCCTGGCGCTGCGAGCTGCCCCTGGCGCTACGAGCTGCCCCTGGCGCTACGAGCTGCCCCTGGCGCTACGAGCTGCCCCTGGCGCTACGAGCTGCCCCTGGCGCTACGAGCTGCCCCTGGCGCTACGAGCTGCCCCTGGCGCTACGAGCTGCCCCTGGCGCTACGAGCTGCCCCTGGCGCTACGAGCTGCCCCTGGCGCTACGAGCTGCCCCTGGCGCTACGAGCTGCCCCTGGCGCTACGAGCTGCCCTGGCGCTACGAGCTGCCCCTGGCGCTACGAGCTGCCCCTGGCGCTACGAGCTGCCCCTGGCGCTACGAGCTGCCCCTGGCGCTACGAGCTGCCCCTGGCGCTACGAGCTGCCCCTGGCGCTACGAGCTGCCCCTGGCGCTACGAGCTGCCCCTGGCGCTACGAGCTGCCCCTGGCGCTACGAGCTGCCCCTGGCGCTACGAGCTGCCCCTGGCGCTACGAGCTGCCCCTGGCGCTACGAGCTGCCCCTGGCGCTACGAGCTGCCCCTGGCGCTACGAGCTGCCCCTGGCGCTACGAGCTGCCCCTGGCGCTGCGAGCTGCCCCTGGCGCTACGAGCTGCCCCTGGCGCTACGAGCTGCCCCTGGCGCTACGAGCTGCCCCTGGCGCTGCGAGCTGCCCCTGGCGCTACGAGCTGCCCCTGGCGCTACGAGCTGCCCCTGGCGCTACGAGCTGCCCCTGGCGCTGCGAGCTGCCCCTGGCGCTACGAGCTGCCCCTGGCGCTACGAGCTGCCCCTGGCGCTACGAGCTGCCCCTGGCGCTACGAGCTGCCCCTGGCGCTACGAGCTGCCCCTGGCGCTACGAGCTGCCCCTGGCGCTACGAGCTGCCCCTGGCGCTGCGAGCTGCCCCTGGCGCTACGAGCTGCCCCTGGCGCTACGAGCTGCCCCTGGCGCTACGAGCTGCCCCTGGCGCTACGAGCTGCCCCTGGCGCTACGAGCTGCCCCTGGCGCTACGAGCTGCCCCTGGCGCTACGAGCTGCCCCTGGCGCTACGAGCTGCCCCTGGCGCTACGAGCTGCCCCTGGCGCTACGAGCTGCCCCTGGCGCTACGAGCTGCCCCTGGCGCTGCGAGCTGCCCCTGGCGCTACGAGCTGCCCCTGGCGCTACGAGCTGCCCCTGGCGCTACGAGCTGCCCCTGGCGCTGCGAGCTGCCCCTAGCGCTACGAGCTGCCCCTGGCGCTACGAGCTGCCCCTGGCGCTACGAGCTGCCCCTGGCGCTGCGAGCTGCCCCTGGCGCTACGAGCTGCCCCTGGCGCTACGAGCTGCCCCTGGCGCTACGAGCTGCCCCTGGCGCTACGAGCTGCCCCTGGCGCTACGAGCTGCCCCTGGCGCTACGAGCTGCCCCTGGCGCTACGAGCTGCCCCTGGCGCTACGAGCTGCCCCTGGCGCTACGAGCTGCCCCTGGCGCTACGAGCTGCCCCTGGCGCTACGAGCTGCCCCTGGCGCTACGAGCTGCCCCTGGCGCTACGAGCTGCCCCTGGCGCTACGAGCTGCCCCTGGCGCTACGAGCTGCCCCTGGCGCTACGAGCTGCCCCTGGCGCTACGAGCTGCCCCTGGCGCTACGAGCTGCCCCTGGCGCTACGAGCTGCCCCTGGCGCTGCGAGCTGCCCCTGGCGCTACGAGCTGCCCCTGGCGCTACGAGCTGCCCCTGGCGCTACGAGCTGCCCCTGGCGCTACGAGCTGCCCCTGGCGCTGCGAGCTGCCCCTGGCGCTACGAGCTGCCCCTGGCGCTACGAGCTGCCCCTGGCGCTACGAGCTGCCCCTGGCGCTACGAGCTGCCCCTGGCGCTACGAGCTGCCCCTGGCGCTACGAGCTGCCCCTGGCGCTACGAGCTGCCCCTGGCGCTACGAGCTGCCCCTGGCGCTACGAGCTGCCCCTGGCGCTACGAGCTGCCCCTGGCGCTACGAGCTGCCCCTGGCGCTACGAGCTGCCCCTGGCGCTACGAGCTGCCCCTGGCGCTGCGAGCTGCCCCTGGCGCTACGAGCTGCCCCTGGCGCTACGAGCTGCCCCTGGCGCTACGAGCTGCCCCTGGCGCTACGAGCTGCCCCTGGCGCTACGAGCTGCCCCTGGCGCTACGAGCTGCCCCTGGCGCTACGAGCTGCCCCTGGCGCTACGAGCTGCCCCTGGCGCTACGAGCTGCCCCTGGCGCTACGAGCTGCCCCTGGCGCTACGAGCTGCCCCTGGCGCTGCGAGCTGCCCCTGGCGCTACGAGCTGCCCCTGGCGCTCCGAGCTGCCCCTGGCGCTACGAGCTGCCCCTGGCGCTGCGAGCTGCCCCTGGCGCTACGAGCTGCCCCTGGCGCTACGAGCTGCCCCTGGCGCTACGAGCTGCCCCTGGCGCTGCGAGCTGCCCCTGGCGCTGCGAGCTGCCCCTGGCGCTACGAGCTGCCCCTGGCGCTACGAGCTGCCCCTGGCGCTACGAGCTGCCCCTGGCGCTACGAGCTGCCCCTGGCGCTACGAGCTGCCCCTGGCGCTACGAGCTGCCCCTGGCGCTACGAGCTGCCCCTGGCGCTACGAGCTGCCCCTGGCGCTACGAGCTGCCCCTGGCGCTACGAGCTGCCCCTGGCGCTACGAGCTGCCCCTGGCGCTACGAGCTGCCCCTGGCGCTACGAGCTGCCCCTGGCGCTACGAGCTGCCCCTGGCGCTACGAGCTGCCCCTGGCGCTACGAGCTGCCCCTGGCGCTACGAGCTGCCCCTGGCGCTGCGAGCTGCCCCTGGCGCTGCGAGCTGCCCCTGGCGCTGCGAGCTGCCCCTGGCGCTGCGAGCTGCCCCTGGCGCTGCGAGCTGCCCCTGGCGCTGCGAGCTGCCCCTGGCGCTGCGAGCTGCCCCTGGCGCTACGAGCTGCCCCTGGCGCTACGAGCTGCCCCTGGCGCTACGAGCTGCCCCTGGCGCTACGAGCTGCCCCTGGCGCTACGAGCTGCCCCTGGCGCTACGAGCTGCCCCTGGCGCTACGAGCTGCCCCTGGCGCTACGAGCTGCCCCTGGCGCTACGAGCTGCCCCTGGCGCTACGAGCTGCCCCTGGCGCTACGAGCTGCCCCTGGCGCTACGAGCTGCCCCTGGCGCTACGAGCTGCCCCTGGCGCTACGAGCTGCCCCTGGCGCTACGAGCTGCCCCTGGCGCTACGAGCTGCCCCTGGCGCTACGAGCTGCCCCTGGCGCTACGAGCTGCCCCTGGCGCTACGAGCTGCCCCTGGCGCTACGAGCTGCCCCTGGCGCTACGAGCTGCCCCTGGCGCTACGAGCTGCCCCTGGCGCTACGAGCTGCCCCTGGCGCTGCGAGCTGCCCCTGGCGCTGCGAGCTGCCCCTGGCGCTACGAGCTGCCCCTGGCGCTACGAGCTGCCCCTGGCGCTACGAGCTGCCCCTGGCGCT